CAAAGCCCCTCTCCTGCCACCAGAACCCCACACACATCAAACCATGACACTGTTGCTCGTGAGCAGTTTGGCAGAGGGATTCCTCGTCTCAGACACGCTGTACAGCAGCTCCTTACGGCTCTGCAGCTGCAGTGGCTCGGGCATCGCTGCTCCGGCCGCGCCGCTGAAAAATGCTGATTTGTTTATGAGGGTCTCGATCTGCTCCTTTTCTTGGTACCTCACAGACTGGAGGTTTGGGTCCATCTAGAGCTTGAGCAGCCAGAGAAGATGCTTGTTGACTGTGACCTTGGCAGTGGGTGCAGACCCCCAGGGCTCCACTGGCCCTGCAGCCAAAGCACCTCCAGAGCCCAGCCATGTGCTTGACGAGCTGTAACCATATCACAGTAGGTGATGGCCACTGGTGGCTAGCTTGGGGTGGGAGCCTGCACCTGCTGCCGAAGCATCCCGGCCTGGGGTACCCCACACTACCACCTCCCCAGCATGGGACAGTGCTGACAGTGCCTCTTCACACTTCTTGGGATCACAGCGGAGCAAGAGCCGAAACTCCCCATGCCCCCAACTCCGGGGCAGACATGGTAACGTTGGCAAGATGTCGAGACCAGCTCAAAGGGGAATGAAGGCAGAGGGAGAAGCTGAACACAGGGGCAGGAGGCAATGCACACGAGGGAACTTGGCCAGAAGCCCTCTGCAATAAGAAGCAGAGCTTTCACACTCGTATTCCCAGGAAAACAGGCTTTGGCTGCACAACCAACCCCAAAAGACTATTTTAAAAGCTGTGTATGAGCTTATGTTGTTTGGCAATATCCCACTCATCTCTCTTGCTGAATAGTGACCTGAGCCACTTTTAAGTGCACACTTTAGTTCAGTTATGGGCTGCGTTTCTAGTCTGAATGGGAGGGAATCCCTGTTCCCATAAAAACTGCGTTTGCAAACCTCCCTTTTCTTATAGTACGCTTGAAAGAGAGAAGCAGAACCAATCTTTTAATGTTTGCAGGGCACTGGGAGCGAGGGAAGGAGTGTTGCTTTGTTTTACACGTGGGAAAAGAAGCAGCTGAGTTAAACTCTTGGGAATATTCTGGGGATCCAAACGCTGGGGCTGATTTGGTTTGGTATTACATTAGCCTTTAGCCAGAGCTGCATCTTTTGTAAGCCTAATTCTGTAATTGACTTCTTTCTTTCTTTTGTTTGACCTCTGTAATTTTGCTGGCCTCAAGAGAACAATCTTTTAATTCCCTTGGGACTGGAGATGGACCTGTGCAAGCGTATTTCTTGACGCTGGGGCTCTGCTGGTCAGTAGCTACAAGCAGAAAACAGGTGCAGCAGAGAGGGGTGTGAGAGCAAGAGAAAACTCTGAGAGATTTTTCCAGCTCAGACCTTTGTACAAGCAGGAGAAATCCAAACGTTGAATAAATCGAGGTGATGGTGGAGTGAGTGCACTGATCCTGCGAAGAGAAATTCAGTCTGGTTTGCTGCTCTGTCTCTCAAGCTGCCTGCGTGCTTCCCTCCTCCGCTGAGCGCCGTGTAGGGGGAGTCTGGTTTTCCCCCTGGCTTTGGGAGGAGTGTGCCTGACACCAGTCCGATAGACTGACACCTCTCGTCTTACTGCTTGCAGAAGTGTCCTCCGTGGGGAACAGCTTGCAGGAGAACTGAGTTTGGTCATTTCTTTCTGATGAAATTGTTTGGCAAATTCCTGTAAGTTTGGCATATATATATATGTACTTATTTTTCAGCAAAGGAGGTGGGTTCAGAGGGATAAAGATGCCAAAAAGGCAGATGAGTCCTGGAAAATGAAGGTGATTTTCAGTCCCATCTTTGCTGAAATATCAAGCTGACTGTGTGCCACGGGTGGGAACCCTCTTAATTCTTTTGCTTCCAGTGGGATAACACTGAGGGCATAGCCCTGAAAATCTCAGCCTTTTCTAAAGCTGCATTTGCTTTTATGTGATTTTCTTGGCATTCATCATGGCCTGAGAACATGTTCTGCTCCATGAAGAGGGTCAGAGAGCAGTTCATGCATGCAAGCCTGACAGTTTTAGGGTAGAGCTGTGTGGGAGTTGTAGGTGCTTTTTGTGACTCAGGCTAAAAGGAGTTCAGAGAGCTCAGCATCTTTCATGTTTGGGCCCTGGATGCTGGAGAACAGCTGCTGCATGTGATAGTTCCATGAAACGGAAGAAGTCTTGTTGACTTCTTTTCTCACGTTCTCTCTCTTGGGTTTTTAATTACAGACCTGAGCAGAGCTCAGTGCTGCCAGCTTGTCTGAGCCAGCCCAGCTTCGATCTGCTGACCCAACAGAAACCTCAGCTCAGGAGCATCTCACTGCCCTGGGATCGCATCCTTGTTTAGCACTGAGCCTGGTGGCTCTGTTGGCTGCTCCAGAGAGGGGATGGAGATAAATCCCTCCGGTTTTCACAAGCTTCAGGTCTGGAATGAGCCTTTCCGGAAGTTTAGCTCTAATGCCTGGGATTTATCTTTCCTGACTTTAAACCACCTTTTGGAGCGCTCCTGCAATGCAGACATCTTCAGCCAACTGCCTAGAGCGCTTTCAGTCCCACGGAGGGAGGGAGGTGTTACTGGGGAACAAATCGTTTGACCCAAAATTATCTATTTCTGTCCTTTGACTGGCTTGGATGCAGGCGTTTATGGCCAGGTGAAACCAGCCCCACCTTCTGGTCTTGCTCTGTTGGCTGTGCAATTTGGACAACCTCCCAAAATGCTTGGGCATTGCTGCTCTGTGACCCCTGTCTCTGATACTCGTAATGTTCCCCCTCATCTCTGGGACTGAGAGGAGGAGGAGGAGGAGATAACAAGCCTCTGAGTCGCAGTGAGCGCCTATGGCAAATCTTTTAAACCTTATCCTAAAATTATTCTAAAATTTCATAATGGCACAGAAACCCCATGTTGCTCATGGCAAGTTTGATTGCAGTTTATTTAAGAAATTCCATAAAGCTCATACAGTTCAATGGGAGCAGAAGGTGAGAGGAAATGAGTGAGTTACATTTTGGCACATAATTCTCCAACCCTCTTTGCCTTTATCTCCCTTTCATAAAAAAGAAGGGGAAAAAAAAGCGCTAAGAACAGAGGCATTAAATCAGAGATGTTTTTCCAGATTATGTAGAATTTATGTTGCCAAAGCCTGCTGTTCCTCCTTTTGGTTTTTCCTATATTTTTAACCCCTGTCTCTACTTCTTTAGGCTCACTCTGGCTGGTGGAAAGGAGAATGGTTTGCTGCTGGGACAAGGTCTGGTGATCTGTAGGTTATGTGGTCGTTCAGCTTAAATTACAGGTACTGGGTGGGTGAGGAATTAGACATTATAGAGAGCCAACCCCTTTCACCTACGGAAAATGAGGGCTGCATTTTTGGATGTAAGCAGAGCTGGAGAGCCCTGGAGTGAAATGGCAGCAATGCAAGAGGAATTGGGAAACAGAGTTGACAGGCACTTCATTTTCCATTCTTCAGGCCTTTGGGGAGAGCGAGCGCAGCGGTGGGGAGCAGGGTTGTTTAGAAGAGAGCACCAGAGGCTGTGGTCTCCACACACCTCCTGGTTTCAGTGGCAAGCAGGTGAAGGAACACGTTCTGCTGTCGTGTACGCTGGTGTCACTCCAAGTCCTGCATCTACTCTGGGTTTGCATCAGACACTGGAGCAAAAGGGAGCCCTGGGAAGCTGCAAGCTGAGCTCTAATGATGGCACCCAGTAATGGGAAGGCTGATTACTCATTGACGAGCAGCGCTGGGCTACTGGTCAGCTGCGTGAGACTTTATGCAGAGGAATTAATTGGACTTGGAAAGACATCTCTCCCAGGCCAATAAGTAGTGCTGGGAATGTGTTTTCCCCTAATGGAAAAGTGATATGGCCAGGTTGGATGAGGCTTTGGGCAACCTGGTGTAGTGGAGGATTTCCCTGCCCATGGCAGGGGGGTTGGAACTAGATGATCTTTGAGGTCCCTTCCAACCCAAACCATTCTATGATTCTATGATTCTATGATAAGCTTTGGATGGTGTTAATAGGCTTTGTGCTGGCAGCAGGAGGTGGTGCTCAGCCTCTTCTGCTCCAGATGAGCTGGATGCTGCTGCGTCTTAGCTCCGATAGCTCTTCTTGGTGGTGCTTTTCGATACAAACCTCATGCTCGAGCTGCTTCCCGCACCAGAGCAGAATCCTCCGGCCAGGCAGCTCCCGCTGCTGGAGCCAGCACTGCTCCCACCCATGCTGAGCCTGTTGCTGAAGCCTGATCCCAGCCCCAGCGTGTTTCCACCTCCATAGCTGCTCCCAGATGAGACCACGGCTGTGATGGGAAACCATGGGCAGAGGATTAGTTCATTTGGAATAGTACGAAGGAATTTCAGCCTTTATTTTCACACATTCATGGTTTTTCTTGGACAGTCTACTACTGCCCGTATTTCACAGATCTGATTTTCTGGCTTTTCTTCCTATCCTGTAGCAGAGCTGGCCTTAGGCATCTGAGTTTCCTAGGGACAACCTCAATGTACCAAATCTTTCCATTTCAGAGAAAAGATGTATCAGGCTCTTTGGCCTCCCCAGTCCCGCAGAGCACTGCAAAACCCTTAAGTATACTCCTTTTTTTTGGTATTGGTGACTACTAGCTGCACAGCTCATTTTCCTTGTCTTATCCTGAGTTCCAGGTACATTTAAGGAATAACTCTGTGAGTACTCAATCTATTGTTTACAAGCCAGATTACTTACAAATATTCACTGCACCAACACCTTCTCCAGCCAACCTGGAAGAAAGAGGACAAAGAAGGAATGGCTCATTATTTAGGACAATTTCAAGCAACAGTTTGGCACCAGAGATGTTGGACAACAGAATGGTCTGGGGTGTTAAGATCTGATGATGAGCATTCAACAGGAATTGAAATGACACCTGCGAGTGTGTGGGATAGGGGTGTATTTTCTCTGCAAGTTTTTGTGGCCTGTCCCTCTCTTGTTGCAGGGCAAATGTGAAACAATCTATGGGTTTGGACGTTGTTTGGTTCTGAATAATGGAGAGAGAGTCACCCACCTGCTTTCCTCGCCCTCCAACAGCTTCCTGTAGGTCGCGATCTCGATGTCCAGGGCCAGCTTGACGTTCATGAGCTCCTGGTACTCGCGGAGCTGCCGGGCCAGGTCTGCCTTTGCCTTCTGTAGAGCGTCTTCCAGCGTGGCCAGTTTGGCCCTGGCATCCTTGAGCGCCAGCTCACCGCGCTGCTCAGCATCTGCAATGGCCGTCTGCAAACTGGAGCACTGCGAGAAGTGGAAATAGGTCTAATGACTGCTTGGTGGATTTGGACCTCGATTTCCAGAAGTCCTTGCAAGGGTACAGCAAGGTAGTGGAGATGCAGGTGCCCTCACACTTGGAGGAGTCCTGTGCACCATACCTCTTTCTTTACACTGTCAATTTCCGAGTGGAGCCGCTGGATCATGCGGTGCATCTCTGAGATCTCCATCTTGGTATTGTGGAGGTCGTCCCCGTGCCGGCCAGCCGTGAGCTGCAGCTCCTCGTACTGAGGTGAGTGGGGAGATGGGACACCAGGGCACAGTCAGATCTGGACAGGAGCTTGGACTCATTGGCAGAGATTGACCCTCTCTGACTCTCTCTTGACCGAGTCTTCTGTGTCTTTCTGTATTCAGTCCAAGCTCTTCCTCATGAGCATATTTCCTTCCTCCCTCTATCTCCTTATGCTCTTCTCTCTCTCATCAAAATGACATTTTCACACATCCAAGAAACTACATGAAATCCTATCCAAATCGATTCGATTTTACACCCTACTGCCCTCTCCTCTCCGCTTGCGCTCTCCAGTATAAAATAGCCTTTGGGAAATGCTGAACAAAAATTTTCCTAGCTCACCTGATTTACTTTCACATCCTCACCTTGCTCTGGTACCAAGACTCGGCCTCTGCCCGGCTCCGGTTCGCGATGTCCTCATACTGTGCTTTGACCTCTGCGATGATGCTGTTGAGGTCCAGGTTTCGGTTGTTGTCCATGGACAGGACCACGGAGGTGTCGGAGATCTGTGACTGCATCTGAGACAGCTCCTGTACGTGAAACAAATTCATCCTCATGCTCAGACATTTCACTGTTGTGCTTGTCCCAGAGATGATGTGTGGTAGAGGGGTAGGAGTGAGGAGGAGCTGCAGTTCAGCCATCTCTCTCAGGCTGGTTCCATCCTGTTGGTACCAGGAAAAGGGGGAAATAGCAGAACTGGGAAATACAGGAGATTCTTACTGCTTCGTAGAGGGCTCGCAGGAAGTTAATCTCATCTGTCAGTGCCTCCACCTTGGTCCCCAGGTCCACCTTGTTCACGTAGGCAGCATCTGCATCCTGGAACCACAACAACAGAGGCGGTGAACTAAACCTTGCCTGTCTGCATCCTTGTGCAAAGGCAGTCGTCGTTTAATACAGACCTTTGGAGACAAACCAGAACTGAAGACTTTCTTGACCTATGTGCGTTTAAACAGAGCCAAGAAGGAACTGATTTCTTCCCTTCACCTTGTTGGGTTTTTTTTTGAGAGGTGCAGGGGGGTGATGTCCGTAGATCTAAGCAATTTTTGCCATGTCAGAAACCACTGGATTTCCCATGTTTTGCCAGTGCACAGACAGATATTTTTGACAATGCTTGACATAGTGGAAGTTTCTTGTTGTGTCTCCTGCAGGTGGGACCAGGGGAGCTGTGGTGGGTGGGAATGAATACAGAAAGGCTGCAGAAGTGGCAGAGCATCTCGTGGAGTGACTACGAGGTATGGATGACCCAGACCTGATTGGGTACCTGGGGGACCAGGACTCATCTGAATTTTGGATGAGGGGCCTAAACCAAGAACGAGCTATTGCCAAGGATTGACACACTGGCACAATTGGCTGTTTCTGCTTCAAGGAGGGATGACTACACCTTTGCTAAGTGCTTTGCCCAGCTTGGCACTGCTGGATAAAAGGGGTTATTTGCATTCAAATGCATTTTGCCTTTAAAAAGCGTGTCCCTTTTTTGTTGTTGGCGCCTCACCTTCTTCAGCAGCACAAAGTCATTCTCCGCAGTCGCGCGCTTGTTGATCTCCTCTTCGTACCTGTTGGGAAGGGAAGATGAAGGTGCCTTCACAGCTTCCATACTGCAACCCACCCCATCTGCCATGGGCGTATGGAAGTCCCTCCTCCACGCATTCCGTGCAGAGTCCTTGTGGAGAGACTAAAGAGTGGGTTCCCAGGGGCATTTAGCACTGATGCGTAGATCTTTGGAGGCAACAACAAAAACAGCTGCCTGACGATGCACATCTGTCCTTGCTATATCGGTGCATATATTATACGTAGCATTATTAGAGAGAGAGAGAGATCACCGATCATGGTAGAAAGACAGCACCCTTGGGCTAGGTGGTGGGAGGAGGCCATCTGGAAAAGCTGCAGGCCTTCATTAAAGGCACGTTTTATCCTCCCAGAAGTTTTTGCTGTGAATGGCAGCCTTGTACTCTGTAAATTTTCTCAGGCCGGGAGGGCTGGGTGGAGCCGTAGCTGAGCTCATCGCCACCACACCTGGTTAGTCAGAAACGCCGGGATCTCTGACGCCGGCTCCCGCGGTGGCCTCGGGAGCGCTGGGGATGGCCTGGGAGGAGGGAGGACGACAGCCTGGGCAAGGAGAGCCGAGGTCTGGATCAGCAGCAGCGCACAGTCCCGCTCTTGGGAAGGTATAAAAACCAGCAGTAGCCGTGGACTGATGCCCGGCTCAAATGAAATGATTACGTGGGGGAGATGAAAGGCAGGAGTTCAAAGGAAGGAGTCCCTGCAGCTAATAAAAGGTTAGCCTTTCATGACCCTTTCATGAGGGAAGATTTCTTCACATCAGGAATATCCAATCCTTAAAATAATTTGCATTAAGTAAAGTCCCAGCCTGTATATAGATTTGTGGCTCTCTCAGCTCTTAGCCACGTAGAAGAGGAAAACTAATTTGGCATACGTCTAATTTCTAATTGCCCTGTGGATTAGTATTTGACTCAGAAGAGCAAAGCATTAGGAAGAATACTTTGGCTCCACAAAGTTTAAAACAAATAAAGGTAAGAAGAACAAATTCCTAGGCAGTGAGACCAGAAGCAGTGACGTCCTTTTGGTAGGTATAGGTGTTGTTGCCACCACACAAGAGGATGGTCCCTGCCAAGCAGTGCGTATGACGTAACTGAGCTTTTGCCTGAAGATTCCCTGATCTGGAGCCAGAAGGAATATTTGCCACTTTCTCAGATACAGAGGATTAAAGTCTGAACCTCTTCTATGATGTAACTTTTGGTTGCTAATGGATTTCTTGTCTGAAGTCGTGGTGCACCCGGGGTCTTTTCTCAGCTCAGCAATGGCTGTTGCTGCTTTGCTCCTGCAAACTGTGCTAACGTTAGACGTTGCTTTTCAAAATTTAAAATTGCTTTCACCATGGATCTGTGAGGAGAATAGAAGGAGGAAACTCTCTGACCCAGTTAATCAATAGCAGTATTGTGCTTATGGCTGGGATTCGTCTCAACTCAGCTACCTGGAACTTGGGTATTTCGGCTAAGCTCTGTTCTTTGGGTTTCTTCTCTAGCTGATGGAGAAAGGTGTTTACCTCCAGAATGTCATTTGTCCTGTCCTAAAATGAGGTGAGGAAATCTGGGTGACTGATTTGTAGCAGACCCTGAGGTCTTAAATGGCCAAACTTACACAGGACAGATTTTTTTTTCTGTTAAATGTTTCCTTACTGAAGGCATAGAGAACCATAAAAACCAAGTCTCAGAGTAGACCATGGATCATGATTTCTCTTCCCCAAGGCAGTCCTTTCTATTCCACTGCTACTTTTGGGCCAGAGGCACTGTTGGTAAAGGTGGCACAAAGTGTCAGACACATGATCTCCCAAGAAAGGGAGAGCAGAGGGTTTTTGGCAGAATGTGCGTGTCCTGGTTTTGAGTTGCAGCCTGCACCCAGCTCTCCTCTCTTGTTTTTCTGGTTCAAGATTGACAGTTTAAGCTCCTCACTTATTCATGTCCATTAAACAGTGCAACTCTCGTGGGCATGGTAGCAGACACTAATGCTTGATAGATGTTTTTCCAAAGTGTAAAGACTGGATGAGAGAGGGGAACACCTCCTACTAACAGCCTAAAGCGTTAATGAGCTGAGCTGAAACCCCTGCCCAAGGTTTCAGGGAATTTTCATGGGATAGAAGTTAACTCCTGATTTTCAGAAGGGCTAGAACTACCCAATACATCGATATTAAGAGATATTATAATATTTTTTTTTTAAATAAAGAAAAATAAAACCAAACAAAAAAACCCTGAAGAACAACACTTAAGCACATACTTAAAATTAATCTTTCTTTTCAGACAGTTTTTCTTTCCTGGAAAGGAACCCACATCACTAAGAAATGTGAATGTTCAGGGTGTTCAGGTTTCATCCTGGTCTCTGTTAAAATGACTACACAGGAGCTGAAACCATTTGTAAAGCTTAAGATTCTGGACAGTCTAAGCTTTTAAGAAGCTGCTCCCAAACTCCTGTGGATGTCTGACCATTTGAGCCTTTAAAAAAAGTTCACCTGTCGCTGCAAAAAAATGCATATGTCACCCAACAGGTAGAGTGCCGCTGCTGACGTGCGTACGGCAGCTAAAGTGAGGGGAACCACGTCTCTCTAGTCCCTTCTGAGGTCTTGCAATCTTGGGGCTCTCTTGGGTCTTCTAACTCGTCCATGAAGAAGAAAGAGTGAAGAAAAAATGGACAAGTTTCTTTTTCGTGTGTGTGTTGCTTACCTGATCTTGAAGTCTTCAACTGCGTCCTGCATAGCCTTCAGCTCTGAGCTGAGCCGCAGCCGGTCCCCTCCTAGAGCCTCGAGCTGTCTCCTCATGTTGCTTATGTACCCATCAAACATAGGCTCAAGGTTATTTTTCACAATTTTTTGGTCTTTCAAGAGGGTCCATTTGGTCTCCAGTACTTTATTTTGTTGCTCCAGGAACCGCACCTAAAACCCGTCAGAACAATTTAAATCATTTGGGACCATCAGCTTAAAACCTGCCTCATTTTTCTTGAGATGGGGGCTTTAATGCGAGGGGTCTTTTGTTGTTATGTAATTTAAAATGGGCTTTAGATGAGCATGTCATTGAAAGTTCATTGATAGGAAGACTTGGAAGACAGGAGCAATATTAAACTGCAAAGAAACCCAGAAAAATAATTTGCAACATATCCAGACTGTCTATAGAGCTCCGACAAAACGAAGCTGTATTTATGGTGGGAACAAGCTGAACAAAATCCTTAACTCTGTGCATTAAGGATTTAGGAGTAAGTTTATGATTTTGAGAGCAATCCTGGTCCCACTCTACCGACAATGACAAATGTGCCAGGCTGGATGAAGTGGATCATGTCTTACCTTGTCGATGAAGGAGGCAAACTTGTTGTTGAGGGATTTGATCTGGTCCTTCTCCTCCTGCCGCACTCTCTGCATGTTGGGGTCAATCTCCAAGTTAAGAGGTACCAAGAGGTTTTGGTTGACCATAACCTCTTGAATACCTCCAGGGCCACATCCTCCTCCAAATCCAAACCCGGTTCCACCAACTCTATATGCCAGCCCACTATGACCTGACCCATAACTGTATCCTGGTCTAGCAGAACAATACCCTCTGCTCATGGAAATCCTCTTGCTCGCCCCTAGATTGTGAAGGCTCCTGCTGCCAAAACCACCGCTGATCTGTCCCACACCTCCACCGCTGCTGCGGGACATGGACATGGAGCTGAAGCTGCTTCGGTTAACAGGCATAGTGGCAGAAGTGGCACTGAAATTCTTAGTGAGTCCTCCTGACCTAACGCCGACTGACTTCTGTGCAATCGTTCACCCGTGGCGAGAGCAGAGGACAATGAGGTGAGACGGCAGATGAGTACAAGTCTTTGGGAGTTTGGATCAGGAGTCCCCTCTGCCTTTTATCCTTTCGGAGAGCTGGGCTTGTCCGCAGAGGACCGCAGCTCAGTTGGCTGAGCTAATCAGTTTGGTATGCTGGCACGTGGCCACCTTTCCCAATCCGTTAATCACCAGACTTGCCAATGCAATGGGCTGGCAACTGTCAGGCTCGTAAAGCCAAACAAATTTTCTAACCGGTATTTTTCAGAGCGGGGATTACTGGTGGGGGAAAAAAAAAATTATGTCCAGAAGTTCCCTTTGGACTTGCTTTTAACTTGGTTAATGGTGTCAGTGTCCATTTAGTTTAAAGCTGATGAGACTGAAGTTGCCACAAGAGGGAATCCAGAGATGTTAAAAATGCCAGTTTGATGTGCTTTGCTGAAGAAAAAAACGATTTTCCTCCCTGAATGACAGCCATCATGGGGTAGGAGCAACCTGTCCTGATCTAGGCAAGGAGTTAGATGTCTTGGTCTGCGCTCTTCATCATTGCAGGCAACGCTTCATCTGCACAGAGGTGCTTCTGGGGAAGGTGATAATTTGGGAGGCACCTGTGCCTTTCCGTTGGCTACAAAGAGAGCCTGGATGCTTTGCTTAGCCGAAATGCTGAATGATGAGATAGCTAAAAGTACCTGGATCATGGAATCATAGAATCATAGAATGGTTTGGGTTGGAAGGGACCTCAAAGATCATCCAGTTCCAACCCCCCTACCATGGGCAGGGAAACCCTCCACTACACCAGGTTGCCCAAAGCCTCATCCAACCTGGCCTTGAACACTTCCAGGGATGAGGCATCTACAACATGGTCTACATGGTCACCAGAGAGAGAACAGCCTGACTTGTAGAAGTCCAGGTCATCAGATGCCTGTTTGATGCTGGACAGTGTTTAAACCAAATACGGGTTGTGCTGGTGTCAGTAGAAACATGGTCTGGAGATGCCAGAGAAAGACGGGCAGGTGTTGAAGTGGACAAGCCGTTTCCTTTCAGGTGGTGTGTTGTTGTGCTCAGATCTCGAGGACCGATGAGGCGCTGGGGTTTGTTGTATCGCCGTCTCTTCGGGGAGTCAGCGTGCACTCAGTGTGCACCACGTTTGCCCCTGGTGCTTCAGTCACTCGGCGCGGCTGTGTCGGGGGCTGAACCAGGACAATCTGTGGTGGTAACCTCAGCACAGTCCTTTTCATTCTTCCTCTGAGCTTCGGTGCTTTTGTAGTTTGTCTCTTGTTTCTGCTCTTCAGGAGATCAGAGAAGGGGAACTAAGCCTTCCTTACCCTCGGGGTCTTTAACTGTCTCACAGCCTGGCTGGGGACATTATTCTTCCCAGGGAGGGTGAGTTTGGGGGTTTAATGGGTGTTTTCCACTTCTAATTGTGGTAATTGCAGTGATGCCATTTTATTAGCGCCTGCAGCTAGTGCACAAAATACTTGCTTTCTTGGGAAAAACTAGATTTATATCCCTACGTGACTCATCACATAAAACCTTGAAAGATTACAGAGGTTTGGGCGTGATCAAGGTGCCATGAAAGTGCTGAGATGCCGTAATGCAGAAATTAAGACAGAAGGACATTTTCTCTAGTGCCTACTAGGGAGAGTAGATATTTTCTCATCCTGTGGAGGATAGTGATGCTAAAAACCCCATTGCTCACACAGATGAGAAAGGAACATCCAACTGCTCCATTCCTGTTGGATATAAGAAGTGTCCGTGGGGTTGCAGTGAGTGCAGAGGAAGAGTCTCATCTCTTGTGTGTGGATTTTATTTACCTTCAGCTCTACTCTGCTCTGTCAACCACTCTGTTCCCCAAGGTCTTATAAAGTAATTGGAATTAAAAGGAAGCCGTGACAGAATTAATTCCACGTGCCTTTTATTAGACAAACACTGGGAAATGAGGATTTCAAAGAGTCAAAGAGCAAACAGAAGCAAGGCATGTTTTATATAAATAAGGACAGACAGCTTTGGCTTCCAAATCTTTTGTGAGTAAGAGGGTACGGATTGCACACGATGCAAGAGGAACGGCACACGCTGGCTAACAGTGCTGATGTCTGACCTTAGTAGCATCTCTTGGTTGAAGAGGTGGTGGAGACATACTTTGTGCTGGAACTGCTTCCACCAACCACGCATGACCCGGCTGTGCTGCTTCCAGAGCTGAAGCCCATTCCTCCAGCGCACACCCCACTTCCAACACCACTGCTACCTCCAAAGCTGAGACAGTTCCCACTTCCATATCCTGTTCCTACGGCGGTTCTGGTCACAGCTGCAAGAGGAAAACACCCTCATCAGAGGCACCCACGAACAGTGGGTTCTGAGGGGCAGGGAGGCAAATGTAGAAGTCACAAAACTTTCTTTAAAAGTTACTTACAGATATTCACTGCGCCGGCACCTTCTCCAGAAAGCCTGTTAGGGACCAGAATGAGACAGTAAGAATTCAAGAGGAACCCGTGAACAGGAGCTGGTTGAAAAGGCAGGAGAAGTTCCTTGGAATATTTTTGGTGGATGTTGGAAAGTTTGTGCAAAAGGCTACCATCTTCCCAAATAGCTCATCTTCATGGGCAATTCCTTGCCTTTAAACAGGTTTCAAGTCTTCTGACTGTGGGAAGGCCAGGGATCTCTTCTAAACCTGACAAGAGTCTGTGACCCATTGCACCTCTGGAAATTGGAAATTGCACCCACCTGCACTCCTCTCCCTCCAGCAGCTTCCTGTAGGTTGCAATCTCGATGTCCAGGGCCAGCTTGACGTTCATGAGCTCCTGGTACTCACGGAGCTGCCGGGCCAGGTCTGTCTTGGCCTTCTGCAGGGCTGTCTCCAGCTCAGCCAGTTTGGCCCTGGCATCCTTGAGGGCCATCTCCCCACGCTGCTCAGCATCTGCAATGGCCGTCTGCAAACTGGTGCACTGTGGAGGAAAAATAGTGATTGCATTCCTGATCTGGAGCATAGACTGGTGCTACATACCCTGAGGTCGCGATGCCTGGTCTAGATGAGAAGAGGTTGGGTTAACATCTGTGGGTGTGATCTTAACGGTCATTGAATTGATCCATGTTCTGGGCCATGTCACAGCCTGGATTTCATCTAACTCCACACCTCTTAACATCTCCTTAGGTTTACTAATATTGCATTCAGTTACTCTTAGTGATGTTACTGCACTGAGATAAAGGCTGTCATAGTCATTCCTGATCCAGCAGAACTCACTGAGATGCGTTTATTTTTATTCCCTGGAGTTGGCTGAACAGCCAAGAGTTAGAGCACAGTAAGAGTTAAGTCTTGTGCATTTACGCTGCCCTTTACCTGTTTCTTCACGCTGTCGATTTCAGACCGCAGCCGTTTGAGCTCGGAGATCTCCTGCTTGGTGTTACGAAGATCATCGCCGTGCCTGCCCGCCGTGGCCTGCAGCTCTTCGTACTGTCACAGAGAGAGGAACAACCAGTCAAGGTAAAATAAACTGGTTTTAGAGCCAAGCAGAATGTGGCGGTGTGGGTGTTTGCACTCAGAATACGCGTATGTTCTCAGCCCCAGATTAGCACTTCCAGACTTTATAGGATTATTAAATCTGAAGACATTCTGTGTTATAAACATCTCAGTGGGATCGATCTCCCTGTGGGGATTTGGAGGAGGGAGTGTGGTTTTCCCATTGCAGAGCCCTTCCTGGGCACTCACCCTGGACTGGTACCAAGACTCAGCCTCCGCCCGGCTCCGGTTGGCGATGTCCTCATACTGCGCTTTGACCTCCGCGATGATGCTGTCCATGTCCAGGCTGCGGTTGTTGTCCATGGTCAGGACGACAGAGGTGTCGGAGATCTGAGTCTGCATCTGAGACAGCTCCTGCAAAAGCGGTGGGTGTTTTTGTGAGTCACAGACGAGAGACACGAGTGTTGCTCTGAGGGAGGAAAGCCCCGAAGTTATAGGTTTGACCCAGGTGTACAAAGCAATTTTTCCAGGGCACTTTCAGGCAGAGTGGAAAAAGCATTGAGTTATTTGGTGCAACAGCATGGAAAATGATCAGTCCTGAGCCTCTCAAGTGGGAAAGGAAGGCAAGGACATTGGAAACTGGGAGAAGGCTGAGAGAATTGGGGCTGTTCAGCCTGGAGAAGAGAAGGCTCCAGGGTGATCTTATTGCAGCCTTCCAGTACCTAAAGGGGCTACAGGAAAGCTGGAGAGGGACTTTTTCCAAGGGTGTGTAGTGATAGGACAAGGGGCAATGGATTTAAACTGGAAGAGGGGAGATTTCGATGGGATCTAAGGAAGAAATTCTTCACTTCGAGAGTGGTGAGGCACTGGCACAGGTTGCCCAGAGAAGCTGTGGCTGCCCCATCCCTGGATGTGTTCCAGGCCAGGTTGGATGAGGCCTTGAGCAACCTGGTGTAGTGGAGGGTGTCCCTGCCCATGGCAGGGGGGTTGGAACTAGATGATCTTTGAGGTCCCTTCCAACCCAAACCATTCTGTGATTCTATGATTCTAAGGATGTAAATGCTGATGCTTACGGCTTCATAAAGGGCTCTGAGGAAATCTATCTCCTCCACAAGGGAGTCCACCATGGCTTGTAGCTCTGTCTTCTTCATATAGGCAGCATCCACCTCCTAGAAGAGGAAACACATCACAAAAATGAAGCGGTCTCCAGAGAAGCTGGAGAACGTGTTTCTTGCTGTGCTGGCACAGGCTGGGAGGCTCAGCGTCCATGCACCCACCTTCTTCAGGATCACAAATTCGTTCTCGACAGCTGTGTGCTTGTTGATCTCATCTTCATATCTGTGGCATGGAAATGGAGGGTTGGTCTAGGCTCATACAAAAGTTATTCTGTATTTTCAGGACCAGGCTCTTATTTTTTTTTTGTATGTACAGTTTTGTACCTTGGTCTCTTAGCCCTGTAATTTTCTGCCTGACTTTCAGCCACGGGCAACCGAGGCTGAGTATGTCTCATATTAAACTTAACCTGGGCCTTACTCAAAAGATTATGTTGGCAAAAAGGCCCCATTTCCTTGTTCGATTGCACGAACGCAACAGAGAGCTGGCATCTGCCACAGCCCACCCTGCTCTCCAGGCAGACCACGAATGGATGGACCTACTTGTTCTTGAAGTCCTCAGCAAGGCTTTGCACCTTGTTCAGCTCTCCTCCCAAGTTCTCCTTCTCTGTCAGCAAGCTGTTCAGCTGTCTCCTGAGGTTGTTGATGTAGGTCTCGAAGAGAGGCTCAATGTTGCTTCTGACTGTTTTGTTCTCCTGTTCTTGCAGAAGGGCCCACTTGGTCTCCAGGACCTTGTTTTGTTGTTCAAGGAATCGGACCTGGATTGGGAAAGGAAGTGTATCAGAAGCAGTGATTTTAGGATGTTTTTCCTAAGAGAGGCAAGATACAATCCTGCAGGGATCCACTTGCTGAAAGATGGGAGCTCTCAGCCCTTGGGGAGCAGCCGACAATTTATACAAGCAAGCGTTGCACATCTGTATTCCTGCTCTCTTCGTGAACTCTGCTTCCTTACGTCCTGTATCGCCATGTTCCCCCACTTGGTTGGTCTCATCTCAGCATTAATGTGAGGGATGAAAGGTGTCAAACCTGGAACCCCTCAGGTTTTATTCCCAGGCTGATAATGTTAGAAATGGCGGTATAAGAGCAAAAATTCTGATAAAGATATAACTTGTCCTTGTTTGTGCTTCCCCAG